CTGCTCATGATGGTTTGAGATTCTTTGATTAAGTTTCATTGTAGGAAAATGAAGAAAAGATGATAAAAGTTGTCTGAGGGACTTGTTGTTAGACACAAATTTGAAAGTTTAGGGACCAAATAGGACTAAACTTGTAACAACCCAAGCTCACCGTTAGCAGATATTGTCCTCTTTGGGTTTTCCCTTTCGAGTTTCCCCTCAAGGTTTTAAAACGCGTCTGCTAGGGAGAGGTTTCCACACTCTTGTAAAGAATGCTTCGTTCTTCTCTCTAACCGATGTGGGATCTTACAATCCACCTCCTTTGGGGCCCAGCATCCTCGTTGACACTTGTTCCCTTCTCCAATCGCTAAGCTCCGAAGGGGGAGGGTGGATTGGGGATTCCCACATCGATTGGAGAAGGGAACGATTGCCAAAGCCCACCACTAACAGATATTGTCCTCTTTGGGCTTTCCCTTCCGAGCTTCCCTTCAAGGTTTTAAAACGCGTTTACTAGGAAAAGGTTTCCACACCCTTATAAATATTGTTTCGTTCTCCTCCCCAACCAATGTGGGATCTCATAATTCACCCTCTTCAGGGCCCAGTGTCCTCGTTGGCACTTGTTCCCTTCTCTAATCGTTAGGCTCCGAAGGGGGTGGATTGGGGAGTCCTACATCGATTGGAGAAGGGCACGAGTGCCAACGAGAATGCTGGGCCTTAAAGGGGGTGAATTGTGAGATCCCACTTTGGTTGGGGAGGAGAATGAAACATTCTTTATAAGGATGTGGAAACCTCTCTCTAGCAGATGCGTTTTAAAACCTTAAACCTTGAGGGAAAGCCCGGAAAGACAAGCCCAAAGAGGACAGGCTTGGGCGGTTACAAAACTTGTAATTCAATTTGTAGCTAATGCCTGGTCAATTTACCTCCCTAACATATGGACCAGGTTAAGACCACCCCCAAATGCCAGCTCTCACTCTCTCACAATCAGATGTGGGACTCAAAGAAACCTCCTTTAACCATATGGACTGAACTTTTAGTTGCAGATAAGTCTATGGATGCTTCTAGCAATGAGAGAAGGAATAACACTGAAAGACTGGTGCTTGCCCTCTGTCGTTTTGTAGCTTATAAGTTCATACACTTAAACCGAACGACATAACGTCCAAAGTCTCAGAGACATCCTTATCCTCTCCAAAAACATGTTCTCCCACTTTTTTCCTTTGGCTGTATGAAATACTTTATTTCCAATGGAAACTTTGCTGAGAAAATCCACAACACTGTCAATGTCTTCAACTTTGAGTTTCACTCAAAGTAGATACTCTGTATTCTTCACGTCCTTTCCATCCACCCCTCCCATGAATATCTTCTATTATCTGACCTTCCACTTTTTGTTACGTTTCGGCCTCTTCGTTTCATATCATGATGTAATAGCCCAAACCTACCGCTAGCAGATATTATCCTCTTTGAGCTTTCCTTCTGAGGTTCCCTTCAAGGTTTTAAAATGCGTCGGTTAGGGAGAGGTTTCCACACCTTTATAAGGAATGCTTCGTTCCCTTTTCTAACCGATGTGGAATCTCACAATCCACCCCCCTTGTGGGCCCAACGTCCTCGCTGGCACATCGTACTATTTGTAACAGCCTAAGCCCACTGCTAACAGAAATTGTTCTCTCTAAGTTTTCCCTTCCAGGCTTCCCATCAAGGTTTTAAAATGCATCCGTTAGGGAGAGATTTCCACATCTTTATAAGGAATGCTTCATTCCCCTCTCCAACCGATGTGGGATCTCACAATCCACCCTCTTGTGGGCCCAACGTCCTCGCTGGCACACCGACCGGTGTCTGGTTCTGATACCATTTGTAACAACCTAAGCCCACCGCTAACCGATATTGTCCTCTTTAAGCTTTCCCTTTCGGGTTCCCCTCAAGGTTTTAAAACGCGTCCGTTAGGGAGAGGTTTCCACACCTTTATAAGGAATGCTTCGTTCCCCTCTCCAACTGATGTGGGATCTCAGAATCCACTCCCCTTGTGGGCTCAACGTCCTCCTGGCACACCGCCCGATGTTTAGCTCTGATACCATTTGTAATAGCTCAAGCCCACCGCTAGCATATGTTATCCTCTTTAGGCTTTCCCTTCCGAGCTTCCCCTCAAGGTTTTGAAATACGTTCGTTAGGGAGAGGTTTCCACCCTTTATAAGGAATGCTTCGTTCCCCTCTCCAACCAATGTTGGATGGAAAAAGGTTAAGCTGAAAGTGGAATTGTTCTCCTTCCTTTTTAACCAAATAAGCCATAATACAAACTGAAAAGGGATCAAATAAAATTCTCTTATTTCTTTGTAGCCAAACGAGCCATAGTACATAATGAAGTCGGCCTACTAGAAAACATGTATTTCCCCTCGAAAGGGAGGATCCCAAATGGTTTCCTCCTATAGTTTCTCGGGCGTGTCATTCTAACAAGTCTTCAACCCTTATGGTTCGAAAAGTTGGACACAACTTGTGGCTTGGAGGCACGCGCTAGAGAGATTCTAACGACTATAATTATCGAGAAGCTTTGTGGTTTTCTAGGTCGGGCTGTGATAGAGGAGGGTAGGGTCATTGGGAAGAGCAATGGACAAATCTTTGAGAATAACATCCCATAAGAATTAGACTATGTTCTAGGAGCTCTATGTTTTTTTTAGGTTGGGCTCACATGGTAGGTCATTATTTATTTACTTTTGTTCGGTGTCCAAGACCCCGTGTCCAAATTATATATATATAGAAGATATATAATACTCGACATGTTTTTTTTGGCGTGTTGGACTCGTGTCGACAAAGGCACGGCCAAAAATAGAGTCTTTATGCTTCCTAGGTTATATTTGTTTAGACAAATCCATTCATCATGATCTACATCTAACATTTTCTTGCATCTGGTTTACTATTGTGAGGTCCCACGTCGGTTGGAGAGTGGAACGAAACATTCCTTATAGGTGTGAAAACCTCTCCTTATAGCCGCATTTTAAAATCGTGAGGCTGATGGCAATATGCAACGAGCCAAAGCGAACAATATCTGCTAGCGGTGGGCGTGGGGTTGTTACAAATGGCATTAGAGCTAGACACTGGGCGGTGTGCCAGCGAGGACGCTGGGCACCCAAGAGGGGTGGATTGTGAGATCCTATATCGGTTGGAAAGGGGAATGAAACATTCCTTATAAGAGTATGGACACCTCTCCCTAGCAAAGACATGTTTTAGAATCGTGAGGCTGACGGCGATACGTAACGAGCCAAAGTGGACAATATCTGCTAGCGGTGAACTTAGATTGTTACAAATGGCATCAGAGCCAGACACTAGGCGGTACGCCAGTGAGAACGCTGTACCCCCAAGGAGGGTGGATTGTGAGATCCCACATCGGTTGGAAAGAGGAACAAAACATTCCTTATAAGGGTATGGAAATTTCTCCCTAGCAGACACGTTTTAAAACCGTGAGGCTGACAGTGATACATAAGGCCAAAGCGGACAATATCGGCTAGCGGTGGGGTAGGACTGTTAGAGTATTCCTCCCCCCTCCCTAGATTTAAGACGGTGGGGGCAGCATGAGACCTCCTTAAAGACATATGGGCTAAGTTTCAGTTGGAAATTAGTCTTATGGACGTACTGCCAGTTACCCGCCGTTCGGCAAAAGAACAGTACAGAAAAAACGGTCCATAGAATTTGAATGAAATGTATGCCAAGGTTCCCACTTGTTAGATAATGCTCAGAAAAAGATTGTACACCAGAAAACACCCTACATTTTATGAATACCATGGTCCATCTGGAAATCCCCATGAAAGTACACACGTCGGTATATCAAGTCGTCTTCGACTTTCTTATTTCTCCAGCATTGTTTTTGAATCTATTGGCGGTGTTACGTTTTTTCGGAATTTACTGCAGAAAACAACGTTGTCCACATCTTGATGATGTGGGAGATCATATGCAGTATGTTCTATTATCATTGAAGTAACAGACAAGAGTGGTTGGTTGAATAAGAGGGTTCATTAGTTAGTGTTCCCTTGGAGTTTTCCCCTTCTCATTTTCTTCTTTCCAGGCTTTTTGCTGATTGCTTCTTACGTGTCAATCACGAACCTAAAATTTTCCGAGGGTTTTCTTTTTCCCTTTTGAAGATATCTTTTCCGGGAAGTGTTTTAACTTTTGTCCTTTTGCGTTTTAGGACTAGGTGGGGACCTTCTATGTGAGTTCTCACATCGGTCGGAGAGAGGAACGAAACATTTCTTATAAGGATGTGGAAACCTCTCTCTAGTAGATGCATTTTAAAACTTTGAAAGGAAAGCCCAAAGAGGACAATATTTGCTAGTTGTGGATTTGGGTTGTTACGAATGGTATCAGAGGTAGTCACTGGGCTATGTGCCAGTGAGGACACTGGGCCCCCAAGGGGGTGGATTGTGAGATCTCAAATCAGTTGGAGAGGGGAACGAAACATTCCTTATAAGGGGTGAAAAATCTTTCTCTAGTAGATGCGTTTTAAAACCTTGAAGGGAAGCCCAGAAGTGAAAGCTCAAAGAGGATAGTATCTACTGGCGGTGAGTTTGGGTTGTTACAAATGGTATCAGAGCTAGTCACTGGGCGGTGTGCTAGTGAGGACGCTGGGTCCCAAGGGGGGTGGATTGTGAGATCTTACAACGGTTGGAGAGGGGAACGAAACATTTCTTATAAGGGTGTGGAAACCTCTCTCTAGTAGACGTGTTTTAAAACCTTGAGGGGAAAAGCCCAGAAGGGAAAGTTCAAAGAGGACAATATCTACTAGCGGTGAGCTTGAGCTGTTACATCCTATTTTTTATGATTCACGGGGGGAGTTTTACTCTCTTCCTCTTCCTATCATAATTTTTTAAACCAACTTAGTTTAAAATGCTCGATAGTTAAGAGTTTATATCAGGTGAATGACTACATAAAGGTTCCGATTCGAGCAAGAGCCCGAATAGGGGAGACGAGAACGTCTTGATCAAAAGATATGGTAGCTAGACCACACAGGATCAAATCCTTTGGACGTTTTCTCTGTCGAACTTGGATCAAACCGGTTTCTCGAACTTACCACTATGAAAGACTTCCATATACCATGGAGTTTATACTATCCTCTCACATGTTAAATAGACTAACCATTCTCTTGTTGGCAGTATTCAAAATATCTAAGGTTTATGCATTGAATGGTTCACTATAAATTCAGATCATCTTCATTTGAAAGAGCACCACTTCCTCAAGGTAGAGATGGCCATTGGGCAATTTTCTTGTACTTACACAGAGGATTATATAGAATGGGATGTAAGTTCCTCTTCCAACTTCTGTTACTCACTCAACTCGACACCTCAAACGAAAGAGTTCGAGTTTCAAATGAGCTCGGTTTCTCTCGAAAGAGAAACCGCCATTTCCCACGCTGATGAGCTTTTTTACAATGGAAAACTTCTTCCCCTTCAACTCCCACGTCGTGCTCAAAACTCCAATGCTCACCATGAAACCGAACCTCGCTCCAGCTCCTCTGCTAACGCAAGCATTTACACCCTTCACGATTCCTTTAATTTTCCTCCTGCCGAGTCTTGCAGGTTCGGTTTTGAGCTAAAACCCGCCCAGCATTGGACAAATACTGAAATGGGAGGCCACCAAAATCCTAGACAGATTAGGCAGTCTGCGTTGTTTCGGAAACTTAAGGCCTCGCGAGCGTATATCAGGTCCCTCTTCAATAAGTCTGCCTGCACGGATGAGTCCTGCGCAAAATTATCCGAAAATAGGACAAAAAGAAATGAATTAGGCTTTGAAAGAGACCATTTTAGAGCTACATTATTTGACAAAGATAGAAGCCAGAGGAGAGCCTCATTCTCTGCTAAACCTTCCTGTCCAGCCTCGGAATCTTCCTCCGGTTCTTCATCACTGTCTTCTTCTTTAAACTCGAGTGGCACGCTGGATCCACAAATACTGAAGAGATGCAACAGTGTGAGCTCGGAGATGGCACGTTCCATCGAAGGAGCTATAGCTCACTGTAAGCATTCTCAGTTTCTATAATATCACTCAACAAAAACCAAAACCGAAGCACGAGATATGGCAACTCCTTCTCCGCCGAGCAAGAATCACCGAAGTAATGAACATAAGGGGAAAACCGAAATGAACGGTTAAAGCTCGAGACTATCTAGTTTGTTTTCTGGATGTAATGGTGTTGCTTTTATAGCTAGCAGTAGGAAGTAAAAGCTTTTCAGTTATTTCAGTTAAGGGTTACTCTATTTATTGTCTTCCTCTTTGGCTGCTGTTGTCTTGCATGAATACAAATGAATTGAGCAGGGTAGGTTCCCAAGAAAGATACTGCAATAGATTTATTGATATAATATGATGATCTGTATTTGCCTTGTGCGTGCGTTGTCAGCTCGTGCCGTAAGGTATTGGGTTAAGTCTCGCTATTCAGTCAGCTCGTGTCGTAAGGTGTTGGGTTAAGTCCTGCTATTTTGATCTATGCTATAAAAACCTTCTTAAGTTGGTGGCTTGTGCCTTAAAACTGATCTACCTTTCTATGTCTTGATTGGTAGGCACAACCTGTCTCAAATATCAGTTACTTAAGTAAGGTAGCATTCTATGCTGTTTTCTTGCTGTATGTCCTATGTAGAATCGATAGTAGTACACTATGTTAAAAAACCTTAACTGAGGTCGAAGATTTGAATTTTCCTGATCGTCCTCGAAGCCATGAAACCTCACTTCTGGAAAATTTTGACAATGGGAGGTTAAACTTAGATTTAATCCAATACTTGTGGCCGACCCTTTTGGGGTTGTTTGGTGCAAAAAATTTGGAGATAGAAATGAGCTCGAGTTTGTGATACATGTGTTTGATCCAGAAAATAATTAACAAGGGTATTTAATACGCGAGTTGAAATTAAGATAAGTAATTAATGAATTAGAATAAATCGATAATAATTTATTTAAATTTTATATCCAAATTCATTTTTAGATATAAAAGCTTACTAAATGAAGGAAATTAGTTATTAACTAAAATTAATAGTTAATTAGTTAAAAATATTTAGTAAGTTAATTAGGTTGAATTAAATTATATTAGTAAAAAACCGTTTTCAATAATTGTAACTAATTAATTGTTTATTATTTATAATGAATTAATTATTTGTTAGGACTATTACTTTATCCATTATTAATATCTAATTTATTAATTCAAATTACATTTATAGTTAACAATAATGAGCTATAAGTAATTAAAATTAACTAATTTTATTTAATTTGTATTTATCGATAAAAATATGTACTAATATTGGTAGTTATTCGTTACCATTATTCCATAATATTAATTGTATGGTCAATTCATGGAATAAATTCATTTCTTTGTTTAATTATCATTAAATTCTTTATTTTATTTATTTAGTGAGAGCACCAAAAAATTGAAAATTAAATTAAAAGACTAAACAAAAATTTAATTTAAATATGAAAGAAAAATATTAATTAAGGATAAAAATATTTTTATATAGAAAAATTTTAATTATTATCCTAAAATTTGTAATGATTAAAATGTTATTATATAGAATTTTTTATAATTATTATCTTAGACTTTTTATGTAAAAATTACCTATTAATTAAGTTCGTGGACAAATTAACTATTAAATAATATTATAAAAAATTAATATTTTAAAAAAATGACATTAGTGTTAGATGCATACTTATTTTTAATGATTTTTATTTATTTATAAATATTAATCAATTAATGTTTATTTGTAGACAAATTTATGGTAATATTTGATTTTTCCCCTTTTTTTTTTTTTTTTTTTTTTTTTAACTTTTGGATTTCACTCACTTAGTTTGTTGTCATTTCATGGTTAGGTTAGTGAAATAGTCATTGATGGTATTGATGTAAAACTTCATCGGCTACTTCTAATCTTTAAAAAAAAGGAATGAAGTGAAAAGCCCTTTTTACCCCTCTCTCTCTCTCTCTCTCTCTCTAATGAAGTGAAAATCCCTTTTAACCCTTCTCTTTCTCTCTCTAATGAGGTGAAAATCCCTTTTTACCCTTCTCTCTTTCTCTCTCTCTCCCCCCCTAATGAANAAAAAATTGGAGGAAGGGTAATTTCGTCAAAATGTTGGTTTGGATGAATTAAAGTTAGGGCAGTGTTCACAATTACAATTACCTAACGCTTTAATCCGTTTCAGATGGGAAATTTTGGTGATCTCTTAGGTACCGAATTGTTGAAATTCGATCTTAAGGTTCGCAAAACTTCAACTCTGCATCCAAATTTCTGAAAATTCTCACTAGGAAACTCCCTATTCGACTTCTCGTTGTCTTGATTTGTAATCACACTCAGAAGCTACTGTGAATCGATTTCGACGACGCTCCATTGAGCAATGCAGAGCATCAAACAGCTCCATAAGCAATCCAGCATCAATCACCGGCGGGATGAAGAAGTTCCGACGGTTCCAACATCGCCGTATTCGCCAAAAGCTCTCAAACACCCCAGATCTCTGCCCAGATCCATCAATTACCTCTTCCGAGAGCAGAGGCTTCTGTTTGTTTTTGTCGGCATTTTAATTGGCTCTACGTTCTTCATTCTCCAGCCCACTCTGTCCCGTATTGGCCCCTCTGAAGCTGGTTCTGCAATTCGCAGATCGTTTTCTACAAGTTTGACGAGCAGGGACGAGGTTTCGGGGTCGGGGATATATGGACTTGGTAAAACGGGAGGCAGAATCCCCGTCGGTATTGGCCGCCGTAGGTGGAGGATTGTTGTCACCGGTGGAGCTGGATTTGTGGGAAGTCATCTTGTGGATAAGCTAATTGAACGAGGGGATGATGTGATTGTCATTGACAACTTCTTCACTGGTAGAAAGGAGAATTTGGTGCATCATTTGCGAAATCCGCGATTCGAGCTCATTCGACATGATGTGGTTGAGCCAATTCTTTTGGAGGTGGATCAAATATATCACTTGGCTTGTCCAGCTTCTCCTGTTCATTACAAGTACAATCCTGTCAAGACTATTATATCCTTTTTCTGAAGTTTCATTTTCAAGTTTTTGCTCGTTGTGTACTATGTTGCATTTTAGGAAGAAAATTTTCTGTTAGAAATCTAATGTTTTTATCTGGACATCCTTAACTGCTTATCACAAGACAAATGTAATGGGTACCTTGAATATGCTTGGCTTGGCAAAGAGAATTGGGGCTAGATTTCTACTTACGAGTACGAGTGAGGTTTATGGTGATCCACTTGAGCATCCTCAGAAGGAAACATATTGGGGAAATGTAAATCCCATAGGTAGAGTACAATTCATATATATAACATGAGCAGTTCGTTCTATATTTGCGTCAGAGTTACAATTTTCTGAAAATAACTTGTAATTCTTAGGCGAGAGAAGCTGCTATGATGAGGGCAAGAGAACTGCAGAGACCTTAGCTATGGATTACCATAGAGGTGCTGAAGTTGAGGTAACTACTCTGATGTTTAGTTGTATTCCATTAGCTGCTGTTATAATGCTTACAATGAACATGAAGAAAAGGGATCGTTTTTTTTTTTTTTTTTTTTTTTTATGGGATTAATCTCT